CTCGGGTTTATTGGCTCTACACAACGCCTGGCGCGTCCAGTTCGGTGGGTCATCATACCCGAGGCCCATGTGGACCTCAGTCCTATATAATATTTATATACCTGACCGATCGCAACCGGCCTGGTTAACAGTTGGGATGGTTCTCAACCCATTCAACTGCCCGTATAGTGGACCGCAACCCTATATAATATTTATATACCTGACCGATCTCAACCTGCCTGGTTAACAGTTGGGATGGTTCTCAGTCCATTCAACTGCCCGTATAGCCAACTTGATCGCAACCAAATTGGGGAATCATGCATCACATAACATACAATAGCACATAATAGCACATTGGGAAGGGGAGACACATAATTAAGCTTACGTGTGATCATTCACATACTAAGAATTGTCCTAAGGGGTTCATACGACTTCAATCTAGGTCAACGGGTAACCGATTCAACTAGCATGCAACCCCTAAGACTCTATTATCCTACGAACGGTTCCCAAAATATCAAACTAGACTCAAGCACGACAAATGGGGTCCGTTGGGACACCAGGGGAACGGGGAACATCAAACAGGGAAGCCAACGACCCGGGGTGGGTACGGACCAGCAGGTAGCCGGTGGGTGGAGGGGCACCCGCCGGAGATCACTGCCCGGCAGCGGGTTGCCGGCGGGCGAACACCTGCCCGGCGCCTGCCCGTTGCCTGGCGGTGATCTTCGGGCAGCGGGTAGGTGGCGGGTACCCCTACCCCCACCTACCCCCACTGACTCTTTCACCACAATTACGTCTCGGGATCCTTTGTGGAACCCGAAACCATACTTAGACACTTTTAAACGCAATTAACGACACCACGTAGGCAATTAATGGATCAAAAGCAAGAATCACGTATAACTCATCCTATTACGACTTCTAAACATAAACAACACCCGAACATGCGAATTCCCACCCAAATATATATCAAGAACATTACAACACAAATTCCCAATCCACCCTAGGGCTCTAATCCCTCCCAATTCATCAAAATCACAATTTATCTTTAACATCAAGAAATATCAAGATTTATCAAGAATCATCACATCAATATCAAGAATCTCTTTTCAACATCAAGGTCATCAAGATTATCAAGAATACAGATAAATCATCCTATCAATCATCAAGAATATATCACAAATATCATAGAGGAATTAATCAAGACACAAGCATTTAGAAGGAGGCCAAGGAATGAGATTATAGCGAAGAAAATAGGTTTTGTTGAGACATGGGTTACCTCTTAGCCTTAATTAATCCTTCCTTGGCTATTAAGGTTCTTCCCTAAAATTTCCATCCGATTGACCTCCCTAGGCTTGGTGGTGGGGAATCCCTTGGAAATTCTTGTGTGGTGATATCTATTGTGGTGTGACTTTTAGGTGCCTCCTATGTCCTTATATATATATATATATATATATATATATATATATATATATATATATATATAGGAGTCCTAATTAGGTCTGAATGGTATGGGTTTACTAATTCTATTCCTTATGGGACTAAGGGCTTGTTTTAGGGATAAGGGTCCACAGTCCATGGTGAATCGTATTAATTAATTAAAGGGAATCCTATCCAAATTAAATCCTTTTTAATTATTATTAACAGGATTAATTAAATAATTAATTCGAGATTAAAGGCCGTAACACGGGGTGTTACAACCACATCCTCTTCTCTCCTCTTGCCTCCCTCTACCTCTTGCTGGTGTAACCGTGAAGATGCAGCGGCGGCGAACGACAATGACAGCAGCGGTGGTCTTCCACTCCGGCGACCTTCCCCTCTTCCAAGCGGAGGCTGCGGCTGGTGTTGTTTCCGGCGACAGTGAGGCTAGTGCTAGCTAATGGAGTTTCTTCGTTGGAGTGGCTAGCTCGAGAGTGAGCTCAAGATCAAGTACTTGGCTTTTAGAGCGAAGTTGAGATATAACCGCATGGATTCACAAATCTCTTTTGACTTTGTGAAGTCATTGCTGTATAGCTAAAAATGAGTAGAAATGCTAGAATATTGTGTCTTTGAGCTATTAGATAACTTGTTGATGTTGTATAATGTGTTGGTGATGTTTTGGAAGTGGAAAATTGTCTGAAGTTGCTTTACCGGTGAAGAAGAAGTCTCTGGTGCACAATACAGTGTGCACCAGATAGAAGTCACGGGTCTAGCCAACAGCCCACACTACAAGAAAAATCACGAATTACGATAGAAACATCACGACGGAACGTAATCTGTTGTCGATTCGTGATGGTTTTTGCGACGGAATGTGTTCTGTTGCGATTTGGCATCGGAATTGGTGACGGAATACATATCCGTAGCGATTTATGGCGCAAAGTGAGAAAAAAAACCCGGGAAATTTTGGCGCCCACATTTTGGTGAGGGATTGTGCGACAGAATTAATTTCTGTCACCATAATAGCGACGGAAAAAGCAACGAACGATGGTTCCGTCGCGATTTTGCTACAGAATCGGCGACGGAAATAAATTCTGTTGCGATATTTGGCGCAAAGTGGAAATATTCCCACTTAATATTTTCACCGAGGGATTGACGACCGAATTTGCGACGATTTTTTTTTTTTTTTTTTTTTGTCGCGAAAATATTAAATTTTTGAAGTAAACTTTATTTTTGCTACAAAACGAGATGACAAAATCTTTTCTTCCGTATATATGTTGACGACAGAAAATGCGACGCCCTACATGTCTGTCGCGCTATGGCAATGACAATGGAATCGGTAACAGCAATTAATTCTGTTGCAATGTTTGGCACTAAGGTAGATTTGACGTTTGAGGTTGGCGACGGAACTTGCGGCGATCGTTCTTTCCATCGCTAAAATATTTAATTTTTTATGTAAAGTTTAATTTCGCTACAGAATTAGGCGACAGAAAATGCGACGCCCTACAAGTCCGTCACACTATGCCGTTGGAATCGGCTACGGAAATTAATTTTGTTGTGATGTTTGATGCAAAGATAGATTTCACGTTTGAGTTTGGCGATGGAACTTGCGATGATCATTCTTTCCGTCCCGAGAATATTTAAAATTTTTAAGTAAAGTTTATAACTCTTTAATGGTCGAATTTTACAATAAGTTTAGTATTAGATGTGGGAAATTTTTAAAATTTAATATAAAATTTAAATTACTATGAATTCATATGTTATAATTAAATTACAAAACTTTTTAATTCGCCCTATTTAACCTATTTTACTTTCCTTGAAATGGTGTCTTCTTTCTTAAATGGAACATAACTATCATTTTATATTTCTCAATTCTCCCTTTTGACTTGTTCGCATTTCTAGACAATTAATGAGGTAAATACAATTGTACTTTGTACAAATGACACCTACTTTTGAGGGGCATAATGGGAAAGTTAGAAATAGTTGGGGTCGTTTACCGAACTGAAAAATTGAAGAATTTTCTAGGAAGTGGAAAAATAAAAAATGAAAATTTTAATTCTCCAAATAGAGAAATGGTGAAACACACGACTGAACAGTGTTTGTTTGGAAAGGTCCATCCATCATTATTATTATTATTATTATTATTATTATTATTATTATTATTATTATTATTATTATTTTATTTCTCCTATGCGTGCGCCTTTTCCCATTATTATTATTATTATTATTATTATTATTATTATTATTATTATTATTATTATTGATTATTGAAAATTTATTATTATTATTGCTATTATTATCATTATTATTTTTGAAAAGTTATTATTATTATTATTATTATTATTATTATTATTATTATTATTATTTGTTGTTGTTGTTGTTTTTCCCTTGCGTGCGCCGTTTCCTACTATAATAATAATAATAATAATAATAATAATAATAATTATAATAATAATAATAATAATATCATTATTATTATTATTATTATTATTATTATTATTATTATTATTATAGTAGGAAACGGCGCACGCATAGGAGAAACAACAACAAATAATAATAATAATAATAATAATAATAATAATAATAATAATAATAATAATAATGTTATTATTATAGTTATTAAATTATTATTATTATCTTTTTTTTCCTTCTCTTTATGCACACATATTTTTTGTTGTTGTTGTTGTTGTTATTGTTGTTGTTGTTATTATTATTACTATTATTATTATTATTATTATTATTATTATTAAATTATTGTTATTATTATTATTATTATTATTATTATTATTATTATTATTATTATTATTATTATTATCTTTGTTGTAGAAATGTACAAATTCTATGTGGGATGATTGTATTTAATAAAATAAAAAATTAGAGAAATAAAAAATTGGAGAAATGAAAAACTAAAAAAATGAAAAAGGAAAACTGGAGAAATGGAAATGGAAAAATAGAAAAATGAAGTAAACGATCCTTTGTTTTGTTGTATTAAAAACTGTGCAAAAAGTAAATGTGACAATGAATTATGGACAAAGGTAGTATTTCACAACGTTAGTAAACTTATTATAAGAATTTCACTTATAACTAAAATTAAGTTAAGTTTTACTGTTTAATCAATATTGAATTATAGATTTAATTTATTGTAATATGAAAAATTGTTAGGACATCATTTTTAGTATCGATTGTAACTATCTACAACAATATTCATCTTTACTACTACTTTTATTACAATTTTAAAATACTCATTTTGATTTTATCAAAAATAATAATTTTTTTATATTAATTATTTAATATTTAAAAATTATACTAGATATTTACCTATTTAAATTTTCATGTTAGACATTAGTTTAATGGCACAATGTACGCATTATAACTAGTATATATATAGACACACTCACACTAACTGTTCACTTAACAGATATGTTATTTCAGTTAACCGTTACTTTATAATCGAATTATCGATAGCCAAAATTTTAGAACATATTTAACCATTGAAGGAACTGAAATATTTTGATTAAAAATTTGTTAACTAAAATTATTATTATTTATTGAGTTTTGAGCCTTTTACAATTAACATTCAAATTCAAACCCTAAAAAATCTAAATCTAAACGCCTCATGCGCTCATCCGAACCTCCGCCTCCCTCCCTCCCCTGCGACTTTGTGAGAGTAACCAACGTGGACACCGACGATGACTCCCCTCCCCTACGTATCCGCGAGCAGCCGAAGAGGACCCCCTCCCCTGCGAGCCGACAACGACTCACTTCCATAATTTTAGGTAGGAGTGTCTTAGAATATGGGATTTATCATAGGGAAGATGAAATATTCATGTTCTTGATTCTTGAAAAATGAGATTTTCTACAGGTGGTGTCATTTTTATTATTATTATTTTTTAAAAATAGTGGAATTTTGGGTTCTGGTCGTGTCATTTTGGCCTCCTTAGGGCTTAGGCTGCCTTTGACACAGCTTTGGACATCGACGTGTCCAGGTCGTTTCACGGCCGTGTCGTGAATCCTCGGATGGTGAAAGCATTGCATCACAATTGGCTCTGGACGAAGCTCTATCTAGATAATTAGTGTTGGGGGATGATTTAGAAAATTGGTGCACACATCAAGAATCAAGACCATTATACGGTTGCTGGTAAGCAATGCCCATTTTAACAAAAGCTGTAATATTTTAAGGACTTAATTTCCAGACACAAGGAAATTCTTTTGATGTTCAAATGGGTTTAGGTTATTCAGGATTGAAAGAACTAAATAGAGATGAAATGAGTTGGATTATTTTAATTACCAATTTCTTATTGTGTCATTTCTGCTAAATGTTATGTTGACCATTACTTGTTTATTAACCAAGAATACGGTTAGGGTAGAAAATTCTTGGCCTTTGTCAATGGTTTACCAATTCCTTATTAGTTTTAAATTTAAAAAATGGCTAACTTTTTGCTATGTAATTTTGGGTTTTTTTACTCTGCATTGCTGGAAGCAAAACTAATCTCTTCTTTGTTTACAGGAAATGGGAATCCACTCACAGAGAAACTCCTACAAAGCTACAATGGTCTCATGCAACACTTCTTGCTCCCTCCAATGATTTTCTACACAATGAGTATATTAAATGTGTGCTTTTAGGTTTCCATGTCTATATGCTAGCAGAAAGTTAAAAACCAAGGGAAGATGATGTTGATCCTAACAAGTAACAATATGAACTATGAGGTTAGTTTAGTAATAGGGAGTGCCATATTCTACTGTTTTTTTCCTCTCAATTATGTGAAATTCTTTGCTTTTGGACTTGAAATCAAAGCTTTAGATTTTACCTTGTCACCCTATTATGGGTTTCTTACATGTGATGAGTAAATCACTCAAATTTCATTCAATGTTGTTGTGTCTTAGCAAGTGAAAAATCAAAGAGTGCATCTTGAATAGTGGCTACTCTTAAACTGTCAAATTGAAATTGTCATATTCATGTTTTAGTTTTAGTAGAATGGAAATGAGGCTTTCTGTCGCACTTGTATCATTTCCTGGAAGAAATATCTTTACTAATCATGAATCATGACAACATTGAACATGGGATGATGCCAAATGCTTGAGATGTGATGATTAGCTTTTATTTCTCAATTTCATTTTTCTCATGAAAATTCAAGTTTGTTTCACTGGAGAAAACTTGAACGTATTCTTAATCAGTCTCTGAGTATATTACATATCAATCAAAAGACTAGGTTGATATTTTAATTTGACAGTTCCAAATTAAGTACAAGTAGTTGATTGGTTGAAGCCATTGTTGCTTTCGTCTATTTCTTCGATCTTATTGTCTTTCTTTTCTTTTTGAGTGCCATTGTTGCTTTTGTCCATTTCTCTTTTCTTTTTAATTATTCATTCTCATCACTTAAGCCCAATTTGTTTTCATTCCATTGCAGCCACATTCATTTATCAAAGAGCTGCAATTTGCAGGAAAGAGGCCTGCCCAACAAAGAGGAGTTAAATACAACAGTTTACAGATTATATGTCATTCTGTAGTATAGTTCATGATGTTAGAGAACTTGATATTCAATTTTTTATGGATTATTAAATTGTTGTTTAGACATGAATTTGGTATTATTAAGTACATCAATTAATTTATTGAACTATAAAGTGGTATTACTTTTATATTACAAATTATATTGTATTTTAGTTTAATAGTGCATTTATTTATAAATATAATTGCATATTAACATTTTAAATACAAATATTACAATTTTAAAAAAACTAATAATAATTATAAAAATATTAAAAAAATAATACGACAAGCCTTGACACTACGGAATGAATTCCGTCCCCAAAATGTAAAATTCTGTCGCAAAACGTGATTTGCGACGGAATTTCGCGTTTTCGCAACGGAATTTTTCTGTCGCAAATCTCGATTTTTCTTGTAGTGCCACGAGGGGAACCGCTGCCTAGAGCCGTGACGGGACGGCCCTAGGCCGCCGCCGGGCGGTCCTAGGCAACGGGGCTCCTCTAGCCCCGCCGCAAGCTCCGTTTGTTTTGTCTGTGTAGTGTCGGGTCCTTGTGGCTTAGCTACGTGTCGTTTCGGACCGGGTGTCACGGGCCCTTGTGGCTCGGTACCTTGTGGCCGTCATGACACACGTTTGGACTTTGATTTCGTTGAATTTGGATTAGAATTGAGCATTATGTGATTGATTTTGTGAAGCAATTGAGTTACAGTAATGTTATTTGAGAAGCATCAGACTTGGTTTTTCCTATGTGATCTGTATGATGTTATTTGATTGTTAAATTGAGAAGCATGATCACTAAGTGTTTAGGTTTTGTTAAAAGGGCATGCCTAAAGTGTATTTTATGAATCATGGAGATTATAGTCAGATTTCAATTGATGAAGTGTACAGAGCATGTTATTTTGAATTCCAAGCATGATTAAGTGTTCTTTGAGAAATTCACAATAATATAGAATTGAAGTATGTTGTACAGTAAATTACATTTCAAGCATGTCATGTTTTAAAAATGCATAAGTGCTCATCGTGTGCCTAAGTATTATTTTCCAAAACTCATGAGCATGTGGAAAAGTCATTTATCTTGTTGCATTGAGAATTTGTTGAGAAGTGACATGCATAAGTGTGCAAATGTAGAAGAGTTGCCTGATATATATATATATATATATATATATATATATATATATATATATATATATATATATATATATATATATATATATATATATATATATATATATATATATATATATATAAGTGAGATTTTGGAGGACCCGTTTGTACTATGTCCTTTCGGAGAGGAAGTAGTGGATATTGCAATCCGATGACATGTAACGCGGTGTATTCCCAGGTTACGAGGTTGGAAACTTCCCGCCAGGCTTGGAATCCTGATCAATGGGTGTGCACGCTGATAGTTCGATACCTGATTCCATAAAGTTTGAGCATAGAAACAAGAGAGTGGTTCGGTGGACGAGATGATTATTAGGCCGACTAGACGCCGTGCCCGGATAGGTTCGTTCACGATACGGTGAAGTTCCTACCTCGTCCATTTGTAAAGAAAGTGAGCAATTGCGGCTCTAAGAAAGTGAGTCATTGCGACTCTTATAAAGTGAGTCATTGCGACTCTAAAAAAGAAAGAGCAAGCGAGTCCTTGTGACTCTAAGAAACCTGCACAGAAAAGTATTCTATTTACAAATGAGTGTATAAGTATACTTATCCTATAACATCTTATTGCATTTGAGTATAGTATTGCACAAGATTGCATAATGTGAATGTTTGCACGAGATTGCATAATGAGAATGTTTGCACGAGATTGCTTAATGAGAATATTTGCACTAAATTGCATATTGAGAATGATTACCGAGACTGTATGTTGAGTATGATTGCCTTAGTTGTATATTGATATTGCTAGTTTGCATGATGAGAACTTGAAAGCATGAGAATAATTTCCTATTGATTGGTACCACGAAATTGCCTGATAAGTTTACGTGTTTGCATGAGATTCTTTTTGAAATGTTATACAAAATTGAGATTTGCTATGGTAAGTATGCAATAGTATGAGCATGTTGCTAGGTTTGATATCGTTGAAGTATGCCTATTTGATATTTTAGGTTGTGAGCATATAGAAAGCTTTGTGGTTTATATTAAGGTTTTTTCTAAGTGTTTGAGATTGCTCCATTTGGGAATGTGGACAAATGGTTTTCCAAAAGTATATACTGTAGTATTTTACAGAGTTGAGTGGAGTTATTCTTAGCTTCGTGCTAACAGGTGTTTTCTACTTGTCTATTTGCAAAAACCCTTTCATGTGGGCCCAGCTCTTGAGAGTGCTCGAGTTAGACTAGTGTAGTTAGTTGCTTTGTAGTCTAAACTCTTGATCTTTTATCGTTGTTTTGAGTTTATGGATGTAGACATCTTTCATTTTGTTGGTGATAGACACCGGGGTACTTTTCCCCAAGTTACTTTAATGTAGTAAATTTCGGATGTTAGTTTGACTTGATGCTTAGTTTTACCCTTAGCATGTGCAATCACCATGGGAAGGTGGTTGTGGCGGTGACATTCCTACTAAGTTTGTTAATTAAGTTTACTTTTCTGCTGCTTAGTTTATCTTATTTTGGTTTTAGAACTTCAATTTTGTTTAAGAAAAGTGGGGTGTTACAAGTTGGTTTCAGAGCAGTACGAACTGTGGGAGACTTAGTAAGTTTGACCCTTAAGATTGAGTATAGAAACTCTAAGTAAAAGTCCTAGGAAGGACAAGTTAAGGAAATACCTCTAAGTTGAAGTCCTAGGAAGGATAAGTTAAGAAGAGAACTTTAAGTGGAAATCCTAAGAAGGATAAGGTTAGGGAAAGAGCTCTAAGTTATGAAATTTGAGATGAGAAAGACTCTAAGTTCAGTGACTAAGTATGAGAATCAGAGTTAAGAAGAACTCTAAGTAACAGTTAGGAACGCGGTGAGGTTGTGAGTTTCCTTACGCTTGCTTAACTATTTATGTGCTTTATCAATGTGTTTAAAGTGCAATTTGCTTATCTTTTGAAAGTAAAGTAGAGAAGTTATCAGTGAGAAGTTGAAAGTGAAAAACCAAGAGTTTGAAAGTTAAAAGCTGAGAGTTGAAAGTTAAAAGTTGAAGTGAAATTTAGAAGTTGGGACTTTGAAAGTTTGTTTGAAAGTGGAAGTTTTGTAAAAGTTGCTAATGTGAATAGTATAATAGCTTATACTTGTTTCTTGTTTATGTGCCTTACTTGTTGTAAGCCTTGCTTTAAGAAAAGGAAAGTTAGAAGCAGTTAGTTCTTGAGTATCTTGTTGTGCTCATTGTGCCAATATTCTATTCTAAATCCCTTGTTGTTGATGGCATGATAATCCTTGAATTCTTACCATCGAGCTTGAGCTTATACGTTCTGGAAATTATCTTGTAGCTTGTTACTGATCCCTGAGTCATTCTGACTACTTTCAGTTTGCTTTCAATGTCTATCGAAGCTATCTAATGTCTAGAGTTGAGTATGCGAAGTTGTTTTGATTGAGTTGAGCCTTGAATTATTGCTAATGTCTATTCTTGACATTCTACGATTTATTGTTGAATTTGTATCTAGAATGCTTATAAATTCTTTCTAAGTATTCTTGTGAACTTTCATTGACATGCAATACTAGTATAATTGAATCTTGAAGCTAGTATGATCTTGTTGAAAGCCTTATTCTTTGAATCTCATTGTATTTGACTTGAGCTTATTATCCTTGAATCCATATTGTTGGAATCAATCGAGTTGTCGAGTCAAGATCTAATTGTTGTTGTTATGCCATTGGAACTCGTATTTGTTGAATTATTCCTAGGAGCTAATATTTGTTGAGTATTCTTGAAAGTATTTTGTTCTTGAAGAGCTATTGTATGGATTATGTGTCATCTTGTACTCTCGGATCCTGTTGCTATAGTCTTGAGATCGTCCTTTGTGGTATCATTTCCTTGTTATTGAGCTATTGAGCTATTAATTCGAGATCATCTCTCTTTTATACCTCCATTTGGAATCCACTAGTGTTGAGCTATTGCTTGGGATTAAATCCTTACTACATCTTTATTTGGAATCCGTTAGTATTGAGTTAATTCATTGAGATTATTCTTTGTTGTGCCCTTCTCTTGGAATACGATCTACAGCTTTTGTTTCACAAGACTTTGTTGAATCTTGGAAAATCGTGACTTTGATAATCATGACTTTAGTTGTAACCAATAGTACTCTCGAGTTTCAAATTTAGAAACCTCTTACTTTCTTCCTTTGTGAAATCAAATTTCTTCAAATCAAGTGTGCACCTATCTGGTGAATCCAAGTTTGCTAGTTAAGAAGCTGCTTTGTTCAGCGTTGTTATTATCCTATAAAAGTGAAAGTTGGAAGTTAAAAGTTGAAAATTTAAAAGTTATGTGATAGTTGATAATGTGATAAGTATAAGAGTTATGCTTATATCCTGTTTGTGTGTTTTGCTTGTGTGATCTTTGCTGTTGAGAAAAGAAATTTAGAAATAGTGAGATTTTGGTCTTGCGAAGTAGTAAGGTAGTAGCGTGTGCATCTAGGCAACCGAGGAACCTGATGAAGAAAACTACTCTATTTGCAGTTTAGAGTCAGTTGTAGCAGTCTTTGCTCGAAATGATCGGCATCATAGCTCGTGCAGTATTGCCCACAAGACCTAAGCTAACCTCAAGGATTGAAGTGAAGCTTCGTGCAACTAGAGACAAATATGAAGAAAAGGAAGTGATTAGAGCTTAGAGACCATACTTAAAGATCCACATTGTGGAAGGAAGACAAGTATAAATGTTGATGCAACAAGAAGAAGTCAAACCCACCAAGTAGATGCTTTTGAGATTAATGATGAAGAGAATTTCAAGATTAAACTAGAAGGTAAAAGTAAAAAACGTGAAGCACCGAGAATTTGGACTTAAGGTTGGATTAAACAAATGTGAAGGTGATTCCATCTATCTTTGAATAGATAAGGAACGGATAAGTTAGGAGTTGTGAACTCCGAAAGAATAAAGTCTAAGGCGATTGACAATGACTTTGGACTTGTGAGATATGTGAAGGTGTGAAGATAAGTTGTAAGTAAGTAGTGTGTTTTATGAAGTGTGAAGAACTAAGAATTGAATTAAGTAAGAAAATGGCAAGCAAGGGATGTGAACTTGGAAATGATAAGTGGTGTGAGAGTTTAAAGAAAGAAACTTAGTGATGAGAATGAAGTAAGAAGTAGTTGAGTTTATGATAAGGGGGTTGAAATGTTGAAAGACTAAGATTGCATTACTAAGATTTACAGCTGAAGGGGAGTGATAAAGATTTGTAAGAAAGGAAGCTATCGAATCGTCAAGCGTTGTGATCCAATCATTAAACCGAAGAAACCCTTCCAAGTCGAATTTCTTGTTCCCCATTGAGATAAAATTCCTCAGTCTTCTTTATAGAATCGAGTACCCCTTTTGTTGAGAAATTCCTTCTATCTTTTCAGACCTTGTCTTGTGATCTCTCGAAATGTTTCTGTTCAAGGTGGCAGTGTTATCTCCTAAGTTGTTATCTTGAAAATCTTGACCTTATTGTTAATTAATAGCATCCCTAAGAGCAATCTTGCAACTCTTATCATATTCTGTTGGTCTTAAAGCCTTTTGACAACAGGTCACAAGTTGTATCTTCCAAGAAAACTCTATCCTATCTCTTCAAATATACCCGGTCTAAGCTTCGGGGACGAAGCTTATTTTTTTTTAGGTGGTAGAATGTGACAACCGAAAATTTAATTTTATAAGTTCGTTTTTTAAGAAATTCCAAAATAGCCATTTTTCACTCTATCAAAAAATTTTTGAGATAAAATCGGTGTTTGAATAAATTATTTTGAGCCACTTTTAAACAATTTCAACACCAGGACTTATTTAAAATTTAAAATCCTGAATTCTCAGGTAAATTGCGTACCAAGTTTTGGATCCGAAAGTCAATCTGAGAGAAACCAAAGGGCTTCAATTCAATTTGAATAGCAAGGGATGCCCAACACATTCTAATAGATCAAAATCTGATGGGTGCAAATTGCTCCTAGATGGGAGGTATAGAAGGGACGATGCGAGAGCTCCGAGATCGTGCGCAGCTTTTGCGTCGACATGGCTACGTACTGTCGAAGGAGGCGATCAAGGCCATCAACAATGGCGATCCTCTCCCTAAGCCCTCCAAAGCCTTTGTCAAGCCAAGGGCGGTTGATCGCCATCACAATCGCGAAGATCGGAGGTTGGCGGAGAAGTCCGATCGCGAGGCTAGGGTTTCGGCCAATCCCTCGTCTCCGGCGAACCAGGGCTCTGGTGGCCCTTCTGTTAGGGTCGGAGACATCCAGAGGTCTCATGGGTCCGATCGCGATGCTCAGAGTGACGATCGAAGGCCGGTGGCTTTGCCGGCGATTTTTGGTCCCTCGACTTCTGCCATGGCGGCTCCGGCGGCTTCTCCGGCGTTCAATGGCCATGCTGGTCACCTCAGAGACATCCAGGGACACCAGGGGGTCGATCGCGATGCTCAGGTTGAAGATCGGAGGCCGGAAAAAATTCTGGCGACATTTGGTCCCTCGACTACTGTCGTGTCGTCTCCGGCGGTTCTGGCCATCCATGGCTCTGAAGGGCCGTCTCCACGGTGCGGAGAGGTCCAGGGACCTTTGGGGACTGATCAGAATGCTCAGATTGGCGATTGGAGGTTGGCGGAGAAGTCCGATTGCGAAGCTAGGGTTCCGGCCATCTCGCGTCCACCGGCGATTCAGGGCTCGATGGCCTTTCTGTCCAGCCGGCTCCGGCGGCTTTTCCGATCTCTGTTAGTGACCATGAGCAGCTACGAGACATAGGGGGGTCGTCTGGAATTGATCGCCACCTCCACATGGCAGATGGGCAGTTTGGAGCGTCGCCGGCAAGCCTTGGTCCTCCGACTATTTGCGCGCCGTCTCTGGCCACTTTGCCGGTCTCTGGGGGTTGTCTCAGCCCCTTAGATATGAGAGAAGATGGGTTGGGGCTGAGCCGTCGTGCGCAGACATGCCAATTGAAGGAGGATCGGACTGAGTTTTGTGGTGGCGTCCGCGACAAGACGCGCGATTGCGCGAATTTGGCTAAGGCTGCAGACCTTCGCTCCGATGAGGTTGTGATCTCAGAAGGGGGGAGAGGGAAGCAGTGTGAAGGCCGAACGTCAGAGGTCAGCGCATTTGCCCGTGCTCTCGCACCAGCCGCTAAGGCCATAGCTAGGCTGCCGCCGGAGAACTTTGGTCTCCGCAAGGCAGAGATGGGTCAGGCATCAATGGTGGCTGCCTCATGTGCTGAGACTGTGATGGAGAAAGGTGATTGGAGGCAGGCGGCCTTGGCTTTGGCCTCGGTCAATGGCGATTAGGAGAAGGCGAAGAAGATGGTGAAGTTCGAAGATCTTTGGGAGCTTCTTCGCGCAGGCATGGACTTGGAGGAGGAGGGTCGGTGGCCAGTTGGTTTGCCCCTCCAGCCAAAGTCCAAGGCCATCCGTGTCAAGAAGGCCACGAAGCAACGCCGGGAAGCCTTGGTTGCGCCGGTGGTCTCTCGGCCATTGGCCTTGCCGTCCAAGGGTGCCAAGAAGATGATGGGGCTCACGAAGCTTGATGGACCCATGGTGACCAAGTCCATCAACCAAGGTGGCCCTTCAGCTACGGGAAACCAACGAGGTGGGCAAGAATACTTGCACAATCCTCGTGCGCGTCGAAGTAGAAAGAAAAGGACTCGGGTGAGGCCATATGAAGCTGCTCATGTTCGGGAGGCTGGCTTGGCAAGGCAGCAACAGCCATCAGGTAAGTCTTCGGCTTCTCTTCCTTGTTCTAAAGGTGGGAATGAGCATGCATCAATTAGGTGTTCTAATTGGCAAACTCGAATTGAGCAAGCTGGTCATAGAACACTTAGTGCTGCGCCTAATCGGCTAAGTCAATTTGACAAGGCTGGTCATAGGCTGACAAGTACCCAAGCACATGCACCACTCCTTATCGCTAAACTGCCGGGCTTGACTGGTAATGAGAATAGCAGCTTGATGCTGCACTCAGTGCCTATTAAGTCTAAAGGGCCTAATTCATATGGGCAAGGCAGTTTGGGTGGTGAGGAGGCTGTTGAGTGCAAGGAATCTTCTGCTATGAAGGGTGGTGTAGTCATGGCAGCCTCATGTGGTTTTGGTACTAGTCTCGGCTCAATAAGCCAACCTCATGGTGTTGGCAGTAATATATGTGGTCTTTGCGTTGCTAGTTCGAGGCCTGACAAGCCGAATGGAGAGAGGACACAAAGTGTGGAATCTTTTGGCATGCAATCTATAACACATGCTGACGGATTGCATGCTTTGAGTCCGGTTTCTTTTGGTCGTTATGGAGGGGGAAGCAAGGCTTCGGTGGGTTGTACCGAGACCTTGCCCAATCCCAATTGTCTATCACATAATCTTTGTTTGATTTTTGGGTGGAAATGCCCCTTTTTGATAGATAGTAAGCTGGGTTTGGTGCCTAATGTTGGCATGGTCCATGGACGACAATTGAGCTCAACATTCGACCACATGCCAACATTAGACCCCATGACACTTCTTAACAGCTTGGCTCTTGATCAAGCTACGGAACCTTGTGCAAATGAGGCCATTAAACAGGTTGGTCAGGACACACCCACATTGGCCTATAGCACAATTGTGCACTCCGAGCCATTGGGAAAGGAGGGCCGAAACAGTGTTACGGAAAATGGTGGGGCTGGCCGAGAGACTCAAGATGATGGAGCATTGCTTACCAGTTCTACAAAGGCCTCTTTGCCGGAGGTTAACCATACGGCAACAGGTAATGTTTGTGCTCCCCTTTCTTTTGGTTTCAATCTAAGTGTGGGGAATGTACAAGAGGCATCAGTTATGCACCCTAATCGGCAAGCCCAAGTCGGGCAAGCTGGTCATAGGGCTCATGGGGGTGATCCTAATCGGCTAGTCACTTTAGACAATGCTGGTCATAGGTCCCATGAAGATGTTAATTCGAGTACATCAACCACACTTAGAGTTTTGTCCATGCCTTTGAATGTTCCACAAGGGGATGCTATTGGGGGCAAGCAAAACACAATGCCAACCCCCAATAACATCCCTAACCTGAGACATGACACCACTGTAGGTGGTTTGCATGTCTCGGGTTCTACCGTGTCCAATGCTTGGACACGGCTCGCTGCTATTCACGCTAAGAATGCCACCCCAATGGGGGCATCATGCTTGGAAACTACGGCCCAGGTAGGTAGCTCTGCATTGGCCGTGAGCTCATGTACGCTTCCTTCCTTTGCTAGTCTTTTTGCTTCTACGGGTCTACCAGCTCAAGGTGTTAATGCGGGCCATGCCCCGGGACATTTTATCCTGGATAAAATGGTTGAATCTTATGAAGGGGAGGTCTGCATCACCTTTGAGGATACGGAGGTGCAACAGATGAATAAAATAGGGGAAACCCTACTTATTGGAAAATTTTCGTATGGCAGGCCCGTACTTTCCGTTATAAGAGAACACTTTGCCAAACATTTGAAGTTGAAAGGAACGGTGAGTGTTGGCTTAGTGGACCTACGACACGTGTCTCTCGCATTTTCTAACCCGGAAGATTGCATTAACACGCTAGTCAAGGGTCAGATTCTCTTTAACGGGAAGTGCCCGATGAGGCTCTTTAGGTGGACAATGGACTTTGACACGAGGTTTGAGACGTCCTTGGCCCCGGTGTGGGTGCTACTGCCTAATCTTAAGGCCAATTGCTTCTCAGAACCTTGTCTTAAACAAATTGTCAAACCTATTGGCAAGTTTTTACAGGTGGACACGCCTACGGCTAAGTTCACCCGGCCTAATGTGGCTAGGGTGAAAGTTGAGATTGATTTGTTGAAACCCCTATGCCGCAAGATGTTTATCCGATTAGGGACTGCGCGCCCGGATCAGGAGGCCGTGGGGTTTTGGCAAATGATTGAGTATAAGCGTGTCCCCCCGTACTGTTTAAATTGCAGAAAGCAAGGTCATGTGGCTAGCAGTTGTCGAGTCTTTGGTGGTGGGGCACGTTCTCCACGCACTACGGCATCACAAATGCCAGCGTCAATGGCTGATGCTGGCCCACCCCCTAAGGGGGGCGGCCAGGACCAGGGATCAGCTACTATGTTGGACCAGCGGGACATGACTGCTACTCAGAGAAAAAAGCAAAGTAATAAAGAAAAACAGTTAAAAGGTAAGGCCCCGATGGTTGACATTAGTCAGGGGCCAAGTGCTGGTACAGGTAATAAAGTATGGCGGGCCCTACCACCTAGTCGGGCTACCCCGGTACCGGTTAGTAATGGGTTTGCTGTGATCCAGGATGAGAGTTTAGCCTTTGAGGAGGCTGTTGTGGAGTCATCGGGTGGTGGTGATTCACCAACTACCCCGATTGCATCACCCGGGATAGGGAATGGCCAGTCTCCTGGTTACTTGTCCACTATCCCGGAGGTTACTGAGGATGTTAGCTCTTCAGGAATGCAGGTGGATCTGCAAAGCCCGCACCAGGTATCTTTCTCTTTTACTCCTACTTCGCATCCTGGTTTCTATGGTCCCCTTGAGTTGGGGACACCGCCCTGTGCCCTCCCGAGTGATACTCTCTGGCTGTCCCAGACACCAGACTCTTCTCCTAAGGCTCCCTGGGGGGCCGAGAAGGGAGAGGGACAGGGCGTGGTCAGATTCAGACGTACCGGTGCCGGGTCACGAGCCTGAGGAGTGGGCCCCGGAGTCGGGGTCAGATTCTGACGGCCGGATAGAAGGCGTTGGCCCGGCAAGACATCGGCTAAGTCACACCAGAAAAGGGGGGGACCCCTCTCGTCCGGATCCGGTTGTTTTATCCATATGAAACTACTCGTCTGGAATGTGAGGGGGGTTTCCTCCCAGGGGTCTGCGCGCAGGATCCGTGTATTGCTGAGAATGCATTCACCTTTTGTATTATGTCTGCTCGAGCCTTTCAGCTCGTCTGATTGGCTTGAGTTTTTCAGAATTCGCTTTATTTTTGATAATGTATTTGCTTCTGATAATAATAAAATTTGGATTTTTTGGAATAATGATTTGGCAGTAACATTCGAGAGTCAGACTGAGCAGTGCGTCACGATTTCTTGTGTACATTCTACGGTTCTCACGCCTTTCTGGCTCTCATTTGTTTATGCCAAAACCAAGGAACGTCTTCGGGACCCGTTGTGGGCTGAGCTGAAAGCTATATTTTCTATGATTCCCGGGGGAGTTCCTTGGTCGGTGGCGGGTGATTTTAATTGCTTGCTAAGTGTGGACGAGAAAAAAGGTGGGCTTCCGTACTCACATCGGAAGACTACTGATTTTCAGGAGTGTGTCAGTGCGTGTGACTTGAATGATGCGGCTTATTACGGTTCTCGTTTCACCTGGTGGAATGGGCGGCGTAAGGACGCGGCTATATGGATGCGTTTGGACCGGTTCCTTTACACCTCTGTGTGGGAATCGGTTTTCATGACATCCGTACGGCATTTATCAAAGTCCACGTCTGACCACACTCCTCTTTTAATGTCTTGTGATTTACTGAGTATGCAGGTGGTACCGAAGCATTTTGTTTTCCTGAACGTGTGGATTAAGCACGAGGATTTTCTAAGGGTGGTGCGTGATAGCTGGCGGGTTCCTATTGAGGGGGCCCCTATGTTTGTAATCGCCACCAAGTTGAATAGATTGGGTAAGGTTCTGAGCAGGTGGAGCAAGACTGTGTTTGGGGATATCTTTGTGAAGCTCCGTGAATATGAGGAAAGTGTTCAGACCCTTGAAGCCGCCTTACAGCAACACCCGGATGATGAAATTGCGTTGGTTGAATATAAAAAGGGTGTTGCTTTGTTACAAAAACAGATTGCAATTGAGGAAGAATTTTGGCAGCAGAAGGCGCGTATCACCGAGGTTCAGGATGGGGACAGAAACTCCCGGTTCTTTCACTCTGTTGTTAAGGCACGCAGGCGTAAGCTATATATACACAGGGTTAAGGATGGTGACGGCGTGTGGTTGGAAGATAGGCAAGGGATTGCTAATCAGGCAGTCTCTTTCTTTGAGCATATGTTCACCGCAGAGATTGGGGGTTTTGATCTGGCTAGGTTGGATTGTGTCCCACGCTTGGTTACTGAAGAGGATAATGAGCTTTTAACGGCCGTGCCTGAGGTGGAGGAGGTGAAAGCGGTGGTAATGCAAATGAACTCTACGAGTGCAGCAGGGCCGGATGGTTTCTCGGGGGCTTTTTATAAGGCCTATTGGGATATTATTCAGGATGATGTTGTCAGTATGGTTCGGAGTTACTTTGCGGGACGGGAATTCACCAGGGCTATCACGCACACATCCATCGTCCTTTTGCCGAAGAAGCCGAGTCCAGAAACGTTCGCAGATTACAGGCCTATCAGTTTGTGCAACTTCAGTAGTAAGCTTATCACGAAGCTCATGGTAGTTCGGATGGCTACAGTCCTGCCCCGGGTATTGTCGCCGCAGCAGACTGGGTTTGTAGCTGGTCGGTCTATTACTGATAATGTGCTTTTGGCGGCCGAGATGTGCCATGGGTTGAGCTTACAGAACCGGGACATAGTGCTTAAGTTAGACATGGCTAAGGCATATGACCGGGTATCGTGGTTTTTCCTGACTTCGGTGATGTGCCGTTTGGGTTTCAGCGAGGTCTGGATAGATATGGTGTTTCGGGCTCTGTCTAACGTGTGGTATTCAGTGATTGTAAACGGAGTCAAAGAAGGCTTCTTTACATCTACACGGGGGCTCAGGCAGGGAGATCCATTGTCCCCGACTTTGTTTGTGATTGCAGCTGAAGTCTTGTCAGTTTACCTTGCGCGGGTTTATGATGGCACTACGGTGCCCCAGTTTACACAGCCGCCTGGGACACCACATATTCACCACCTGGCCTATGCGGATGATGTGATTATTTTTAGTACGACCAGGTTGGGAGCTATTCATGAGGTAATTGGTGCGTTAAAGGAGTACGAGGAGATTTCGGGACAGTTGGTGAGCTTTCAGAAGAGTGCTTTTTACATGCACCCTCGTACTCCGGCCTATGAGATTGAACAGATTCGCAGGGCAACAGGTTGTGTGCATAATCAGTTCCCATTTACTTATTTGGGTTGCCCAGTGTATATTGGCCGTAAGAAATGTATTTACTTTGCCTCGGTGGTGGATAAAGTGAAGGCCAGATGTTTGAGTTGGCAGCGCCGACTGCTCTCAAAGGGCGGGAAGGCAATTTTGATATCCTCAGTCTTGCAGGCCATGCCGTTGCACCTATTCTCGGCCTGTGCACCGCCTAAGCAAGTCATACGGGACTTGGAGAGATGCTATGCTAGTTTCTTCTGGAAACAGTCAGGGGGCGCCCGGTATCATTGGAGTTCTTGGAAAACTCTCTCTCGTCCTAAAAAGGAGGGGGGTGGGGTTCTTGGACTTGGATTTGATGGTGAGGGCGGCCAGTGCTAAATTATGGTGGAATTTCCGGACAGAACACACGCTTTGGTCGGATTTTATGAGGGCTAAATACTGCAGTCGGGTTCACCCGGTTGCTAAGTTAGTCCGGAGTACTGATTCGCACACCTGGAGGCGGATGTTGGCAGTATGTGATGAGGTTGAGAGGGTTCTGACTTGGCGGTTGTTCCAAGGCCGGGTAAATTTCTGGTGGGACAACTGGTCAGGTCTGGGCCCGCTCGGCAGACTTTATCCACACCGGGGGGTTTCTTACTCCCGGGAGTTGCTCCTAGATTATGTGCGGGATGGTGAGCTTGATCTGGCTGACCACGATGACTTGGCGTATGCAGGGATTACTGCGGATTTATCCCGAATAGGGCAGGGCCCGCGTGATATCCCACTCTGGACCGTGGCGTCCGACGGTATGTTTTCTTATTCCTCTGCCAAGGCCTTTCTTAGGCCTGCACTGCCCACTGCACCAGACCCTCTTTTAGCTAAGTGTTGGCACAAGCACCTTCCTTTTAAGGTGTCCTTCCTGGCTTGGAGAGTGTTCCGAGGGCGGCTTCCCACGGATGACATCCTCGCTCGTTTCGGTCATGTGATCGTCTCGAGATGTCGGTGTTGTCCGGCCCCGGCCCCTGAGTCTATTGATCATATTTTTTTATTCTGGGGAAATAGCAAAAGCTGTCTGGAGATATGTTTTGGCGTCCCTCGGCCTCTATTCGCGACATCGGAGTCTTAGGACTTTGATTGTGGGATGGGGTCGGCGGGGGGCGCGAAACCCTCTTTTGTCTTTTGTTGTTTGTAGGTTGCCGTATCTGGTATTGTGGGAGCTATGGAAGCACCGTAATGGGTGTATGTATGGCCGAGACACGCCCAGTGTTGCACGAGTGATGCGTGGGGTGGCAAAGGGGGTGGCGGAATGTCTGTTTAGGCGGTGGCCCACGCAGCATATCCTGCCCTCTAATTGGAGGACTATTGTGGCATACTTGGAAGCACATGTGCCGAGGCGTGTTGTTAGGACGGTCAGGTGGTCTCCTCCTGCTGCCGGTGCGTTAAAGATTAATCTATCTCTGTCTTCGGCAGTGGGGGGGGCTGCAGCCGTGGTGCGCAACCAGGAGGGTGGTTTTTTCTATGGGGTTGCGTGGTCTGGGCAGGGGGAGCACGCCCGGGGCATGTTCCGGGTCCTTTTCTCCAGCTTGGAATGGTGCCTGGCCGGGGGAAATACAGTGATTGATATAGAGTCCACCTGGGCGGAGCTAGCTAGCTATGTTGATATCTCTGTTCGTCCGCCGTGGATTCTAGATAGTGTGGTGTCCAGGCTTCGATTCCTGTGTTCCTGCGGGGTAGTTACTGCTGTTGTGTGCCCGTCTAGGGCCAATCTGCCTGCGCAGGCACTAGCTGATTGGGTGGTTGATAAGCCAGGTGAGGCCGTCTTTCGGAACCTCAATGATCTGCCGCATAGGGTCCGCGCGTTACTGATACATGATGATGTGCCCTATGTGTTTTTTGAGATTGATGACCCCTCGTGATTGTGCTATTACTCCTGCTGTAAGTTGTTGTTTGTAAAGAAAAAGAAATAAAAATAGAAAAGAACAGAAAAGAAAAGAAAAGAAAAGAAAGGAAAGAAAAGATAAAAGAAAAAGAAAAGAAAAAAGAATAAGGGAAAGAAAGGAGAATGAAAAGAAAGGAGTGAAAAGGAATGGAGTGAGTTAGAGGAAAATGAGAGTTGGAGAGGTAAAAGAAAGAGTGGATGTGAGCTAAAAAGCAGAGAGTGTGTGAGGTTATTTTGGAGGCCATGAGGCCCTGCCTGCAGGACTGAGTCTCAACGTAAGGTGTTGGCGGTACAACATGGCACCCTAGTCCGGGCTGAACGGTGCACCGGGCAGGACTAGTCAAATCCGTTGACCTGGTCAGGCTTGCTGCTGGCCAATAGTAGCTGCGTTCCTTCTGGACTCCGGGGGGGTGGGCTATTATTTGGGGGGTTGCTTTTTGTTCGCGTCAGCCTGTTATAACCTTAAACACTCACCCGAGGTAGAAATTATAGTTGGGTCAGGGGAACAGGATGCTTGGTTGTTCTATCTTGTTTCTATTTTTTTTGCAGGTGCTGTTTCTTTGTCCTCGGAGGCATGAACTAGTCTTGGGCTGTTTTGGTTTCGCCTTTGCAGGCATTTTTTGGGACAGACCAGGTCTCAACGCCGATGCAAGCGGTAAAAAATTGCATCCTAGCCCGGGCTGAACGGTGGCCGGGTAGGTGTTTTTCAAATCCGTTGGCGGTAGTCCAGGCTTGCTGCTGGCCCATAGTAGCTAATCCCGTTAGGGTTGGTTCTGGTTCGTACTGGTGCTAATCGGGAGTTCTGCTATTGGCTGCCTTGTGCTATGTTGATTGATTTTATGGCTTGTGATTTACCTTGTACTTTTTTTCTTAGGCCTGCGTGCCATCTTTAGCTATGTATCTCGACTTAGGCCTGCGTGCCATTGCTAGCTATGTATCTATCTTGTTGTATGGCATGTCTTGTTTTACGGGCCAGCCAATAGCGCTACGGGAGGTGTTACAGTCGTGGTGCAGCCCGGTTAGGCTGCATTATGGTGTGTAGTCGCTATAGTGCAACTGGCATGGAGGTACTATGATGGTGACACGCGAGGTGTCTATTCCTTGCTTTTTGAGCTTCGGACTATATGGTGGGCTGTGAAGCAGTTGGGCTGCGCGTGCACTTTTTCGGAGCAGCTTCACAGGCTACTTATTTCACATCTTGATGTTTATACTCTTGTCTGCGTTCTGGTTAGTGATAGCTAGTATGGGACTTGGGGCATGCATGTTAGAGCCCGGGGGCCTCGTTATGTAATCTCATTTTATTTAGTTTATTTAGATTAGTTAGCAGGATTTAGGCCATGTGGGGCCTAAGTCCATTTTTTTGTATTGGCTTTGGCCTTTTTTTTTGATAATAAAGTCTTTTTTAAAAAAAAAAAAAAAAAATCTGAGAGAAACCGGGAGAAATCTGAGAAACCTAAACTAAGTGGTTGTCAAGAAAGTATTTTTGGAAAAATATATTTTGACCCCAAAACTATTTTAAACTATGATTCTAGACTATGGTCCATGTTGCAAGGTGAACCCTAAAATTTTATTTTACGATTCTACCCTCGAACCCTAGCTATAAATAGTAAAGTATCTCTTGTTCATTTTCCCTAACCATACTAGCAGCTACTTCTCCCTTCGGTCTCTCTGCCGTTTCCCCTCTTCATCACCATGGCAGTAACAACACCCATCTCCAACCATTTTCTCCTTGCTACAAACGAAGGAGATCAACCCATCAACAACCCCATCCTCTTCTCTCCTCTTGCCACCCTCTACCTCTCACTGGTGTAACCGCGAAGATGCAGCGACTGCGAATGGCAATGACATCAGCGGTGGTCTTCCTCTCCGGCGACCTTCCCCTCTTCCCAGCGGAGGCGGCGGCCAGTGTTGTTTCCGGCGACAGTGAGGCTAGTGCTAGCTAATGGAGTTTCTTCGTTGGAGTGGCTAGCTCGAGAGTGAGCTCAAGATCAAGTACTTGGCTTTTGGAGCGAAGTTGAGGTATAACCCCATGGACTCCAAAATCTCTTTTGACTCTGTGAAGTCATTGCTATATAGCTTGAAATGAATGGAAATGCTAGAATATTGTGTGTTTGAGCTATTAGATGACTTATTGATGTTGTATAATGTGTTGGTGATGTTCTGGAAGTGGAAAATTGTCTGATGTTGTTTTACAGGTGAAGAAGAAGTATTTTGTGCACAACACAGTGTGCACTAGATAGAAGTCACGAGCCTAGCCAACGGCCCACGAGGGGAGCCGCTGCCTAGAGCCGTGACGGGACGGCCCTAGGTCGCCACCGGGCGATCCCAGGCAGCGAGGCTCTTCTAGCCCCGCCGCAAGCTCCGTTGGTTTTGTCTGTGTAATGGCAGGGCCCTTGTGGCTCAGCTACGTGTCGTTTCGGAACGGGTGTCACGGGCTCTTGTGGCTTGGTACCTTGCGGCCGTCATGACACATGTTTGGACTTTGATTTCGTTGAATTTGGATTAGAAATGAGCATTATGTGATTGATTTTGTGAAGCAATTGAGTTACAGTAATGTTATTTTTTTTATTTTTTTTTAAAAGGGGGCCATATTATTTATAAAGAGTTAATACCATCTGAAGTCCTCCGAGTATAGTGATTTTGCCACGTTCAATCCTAAACTTTCAAATTGACCATATGTGGTCCTTCGACTTTCAAATTTAACCATTCATGGTCCAAGTTAACCACACATGGTCCTTCAACTATTAAATATTAACCAACCAAGGTCCTTTCAAGAGGACCGCGGCTGGTTAATTTTCAAAAGTTGAAGGACCATGGGTGGTTAACTTGGACCACGAATGGTTAAATTTAAAAGTCGAATGACCACAGATGGTCAATTCGAAAGTTTAGGATTAAACGTGGCAAGACCACTATACTCGGAGGACTTCATGTGGTATTAACTCTATTTATAAACAAAACAGAACAAAGTCTTTCCAAGGCCCAAAAGTGACCAAGTCTACAGAAAAAATAAAGAAGACTTCCCAAGGCCCAAAAGTGACCAAGGCTACAAAGAAATAAAGCAAGTAGGCCTAAAAGACGATCAAGTAAAAGAGAGAAACTCTAAATCACAAAGTGGGCCCAACACCCATACTACAAACCACCTGTAACCAAGTATATACTGTAGTATTTTATAGGGTTGAGTGGAGTTATACTTAGCTTCGTGCTAACGGGTATTTTCTTCTTGTCTATTTGCAAAACCCGTTTCAGGTGGGCCCAGCTCTTGAGAGTGCTCGAGTTAGACTAGTGTAGTTAGTTGCTTTGTAGTCTAAACTATTGATCTTTTATCGTTGTTTTGAGTTTATGGATGTAGACATCTTTCATTTTGTTGGTGATAGACATCGGGGTACTTTTCCCCAAGTTACTTTAATGTAGTAAATTTCGAATGTTAGTTTGACTTGATACTTTGTTTTACCCTTAGCCTGTTCAATCACCGTGGGAAGGTGGTTGTGGCGGTGACATTCCTACTAAGTTTGTTAATTAAGTTTACTTTTCTGCTGCTTAGTTTATCTTATTTTGGTTTTAGAACTTTAATTAAGTTTAAGAAAAGTGTATTGTTACACTAGCTGGCTCGGTATTACTGACCACATAGTGACCTCTACTTCCAATGATTCCACTACTATTGACCAACCCTCCGACAACCCCGTCACCATTTCTTTTTACTCTCATTCACCTAGGTCGTTTGGCCAAACCACTCTGGCTACCTTGGTGGCTCGGGTGGCCTTCGCTTCTTTTAGCTCAACCTCCTCAGCCCACTTATGTCCTAAACCCCTTCGCAACTTCCACCTAGCCAATCCCTTTACTCGTGGTCCCGGTTTCTTCAAAGACGTGGATTTCCCCCTCTTTTGACCTCCATCTCACCACCCGCGACCTAGATTTTTC